TGTGTTTTCCCAAGTTTTCCTTTGAGAACATCTGATACTGACATGTATATTTTATAGATTTGGCTGTATGTGATGTTGGGGCACTAGGCCCCTGGGGCACTTTTTATTCGTATAAATGAAATAAGCAAGAAAGTTCAGAGGCCACTGTGGCAAAAGTATTATTTAATACTCCAGTGTAAGCTCAGCGAGTGCTGCAAAGTAAAAACTCAGTGAAATCAACAACACCATCCCCGTGTTCCAGCTCACGAAAAATTGTCCAGTGCATCTCTCTCTGTGCTAACAAAAAGAATTAAACAGTGATGAGTTGTAAGTAGCATTGTAAAACATCAAATAGACAAAGAGGCACCTCACTGTAATGTGTGTAGTTTTTGTCTTATCCTGTTCCAGGAAACTCCTTTCGAACAGTTTACGTGTAGTTATGACTGGTCAAAGTGCTTTGTTTCATCTTTCCAGCTTACTTCTCAAAGGTATCCGAAGGAGAACCATTGCGTGCACGATGTCTGATCATGGTGGCTGAATAAGGAAATATTGTTGACTATATACGTTCAGTTTGCTGATTTTTCATTTTAATACTAACATGTATAGTGACCATTGGTTTAAAGAAGGAGACACTGATTCAAATATTGGTGGTCAACTGAAACAATGGTAGTTTGTTGTGGACAGGAAAGTGCTGTATTTATAAAACAATTCAAGAACATCCTTGCCTACTGTTTGTTCTTCTAATGTATTTGGTTCATGATCAACACTGTCCACACTCCTAATTTACAGTCTCTCAGTTTTCCCACTCCACTAAGTAATCATATTTTCATTCATTTTATGGGGTTCTCCTGAAATCCTTAATTATAAATTTTCACCTATTCATGATTTATGTCTATAATATTGAAATTATCCATCCATAATTTTCAAAATGTAATATATATAATTTCCCACCATAGATTACATAGTTTAATTCTATTCAGAATCAGTGCACACACAAACACAAACCACATCCAGAAGCTCATTCATGCATCTCAATGATCTCATGCCAGATAATGCTAAATTAGGTATCATTATTGCAAATTAAAATGGCATTATTTTAAAAAGGATCTTCGAACAAATTCCCTACCGAATATGGATAAAAAACGTCCAATGTTGAGGAGTGAAGAGAGGGTTTTGATTGAAGAGAGCATTGACAATGCTTTTAAATATGAGGTCGACCACTTATTTAAAAGCCCCCACCCTCTTTCGTCTCTTTCTTATTCTTCTGTCTCCTTCCAGTAAAAGTAAATGTCGCAATGACAATTGTTGAATGTTTACTTTCCTGCTTCCCTCCTATTTTAGTAGAAATTTATTATCGTAGCATCGTTTGTGAAAGTTACAATAATTTGTTTGTACTAATTAGCACTGTTATTATTTTTTTGTTGGAAATATTAGCTTTTTACACCACTGCTTTTCTTGCAGCTGTTTATAAATACTTTATTCGCAGATAAAGATTTTGAACAAAAGAAATGTTGCCAGTGCGGTGTCGGGGTTCATTAGGTGTTCCTAACAAGGTTAAACCAGCCATGGTCCTGTTTTGTCTTCTTGAGCTTATGACGTTTGGGCACTTGTTTTTAGTTTGTGTTTGGACCAACTTCATTCAAGTTTTGTACAGGCTTAATTTGCATAAAATAAGTCCTTTTTCACCTTTAAGAACATTTGGCAAATGTGATCATCACCTTTTTTAATAGGCTAAATTGTAGTCCTGCCCCCAAGACACAGGGAAATAAATGACATGGAAACGTCAGGAGTGAAAAACAAAACACAAGAGGGCAGCATTGGAAAGGCTGTATAAAGCATCTACAGTGTGATAACCTGTAGTACGTATACTGTATGGTGAACACAGCACCAACACAACACACACAAGACCCACACACACAATATCACACATCAACACACACAACACAACACACACAACATCACACACACACACACAGATCTTTTACCAGCAGGTTGCTCGGGCTTATTTAAGATTTTAGTTTTGGAAATGGGGATGACTGTCTTAAAGCCAGTTAGTTTTATGCTTTTTATTTGACCACAATTGCAGTTATAGCTGCTTGCATCTCTCTCAGTATTATCAGACATTTAACAATAAGGGACAAAAAATCTTGTGTAGAACAAATTGCCCAATTGACAAATGTCCCCTTGCGAAATAGTTCTATACTGCCCTTAAAAAGCCCCAACCCCTCTCTGTCACTTCGGGTTTTCCCCTTTTTTTTTGTTTTTAAACGTCACTACCAAGTTAACAAAAATGATGTACTATCTACATAAACTATTAAAAATTAGTTGTTTTTACTTCTATGGATATATTGTATATATATGCAGTGATGACTGGACTGACTTTTGCAAGCTGACGAGCGGAATGCCTTAAAACTAAAAGCGACTGCCTTCCATTGTAAAACATACAACATTTATATTTATGCATTCTGATACTAATAGTTTAGGTAACTACTCATTAACAAATTCATCAATTAGTACTCTGATTTGTCCCGTCGCTCGTTTCTTAATGGACTATCATTAGGTAGTTTCCTCATTTATTCCTCCACTCTTGTGTGATTGTAAAGTGTTACCGTTTATTTCTTGTTCTATGTGTGAAGCATTCAACAGTGACCCCCATAAGTGAAGTTTAACTTATGAGCTATGATCCCAAATGTGTCATCTCTGTGAATCATGTGTGCATAAGGAAGCCAGGGAGACTTTTTAAATAGAATTTAAGCCATTTGTCCCAGATGTGCAGTGGAGTGGGTGGGAGTTTGTATAATATTTTATTTATGTATTGTATTTTGTTTTTTATTGTCACTGAAAATCAGTGATACACATTCAGGACAGCACAATAAATCCTCAAGCCAACATAATAACCCATAATCTATGTCCGTCCAAATTTCCTTCTCCGGAACACAGGATACAGAACAGATAAAAGGTCCTATGTCAGACAGCTATTTGTGTAGAGTCTTATGGAGTATCCAGGTTTAATTACGAACTCACTCAAACATTCAAACCTACTTTCGCATATGATTCTCAACCAAATCGTTCCTACTGTACTTAAATTGCTTTGAATAGCAAAAAATAACCAATACGCGGGACAATTCGTTGTAAAACTTAGTTAGCGTTTTGCTTTTTTTTTAGGAGGTATTGCTAGCCATCACGTATCTGTCTTTTGGTATATAGAGTGATCCTGATGTTGATGGTTTGATACTGTATTTGATGTTTTTAGCCACGCTATATGTCCTATTGTCTCGCTACATCAGTATTGGTATGTTTGTAGAACTGTGATGAATGTATTGTTCAGTGTATATTACATTATGACTCCTAGAATCCTCCCAGAGTTGACATTTGTGGTTTTTGATGTGAAACAACAACTTTGTTATGGCTGTGATGGTTTCCACAATAATTAGGTAGTGTGTTATTAATTATTGTTTCATTCTATTAGCTAGTGAGAAAGCTATAAATAATTCTTTTGTTACTCCAATTTCACTGTTTATTCTTTATTATTTTGTTGAAATGAGCTTTTACATTTTCACCATTGCTTTATTCTTGCAGTGTAGTTACTATTTTTTGCACATAAAGATTTTAAACCAAAAGAAATGTTGCATGCGAGGTCGAGGGGTCGTTAGGTATTCCCTAACAGGTTAGGAGCCAGCCAATGGGTCCTGTTGTGTCCTTCTTGAAGCTACTGACACTTGGCATCCGTTTTTAGTTTGTTTTGATCCTCAACTTCATTCAATTTTTGTACTTTTTTAGGTCTTTATATTTGTGCATTACATATAAGTCCTTTTCCTTAAAACATTTGGCAATAATAGTGATTCATACCTTGTTTTAATTAGGCTAATTGAGTCCTCAGCCATAGACCACAGGGAAATAAATGGACATGGAAAGTCAGAGTGAAGAAATTATCATATAACATCATAGAGGGCAGCATTTGGAAATGTTGTATAAAGGCAGTCTACAGTGTGCATTATACTTGTAGTATCATATACTGGTATGTGAACACAGCACACACACACAGCACACACACACACACACTACACATCACACACAACAGATTTTTACCAGCAGTTACCTCAAGCTTTTTTAAATTATCAGTTTTTTGGAGAATGGGATTTGTTTTGGAATGTATTTTATTACATTCTTAAGCTATATTTCTATGCTTTTAATCTTGCCAACTTTGCGGGCTTATAGCTGTAGCTGTTTGCATCTCCCTCAGTGTTATCAGTAACACTTAACAATAAGGGACAAAAAACTTTGTGTAGAACAATTGCAGGACGAATGAGGAACTAACTGCTAGTGAACCATTAGTTAATGAGTAACTCCTAATCAAATTTTATAGAGTAGCTAATGATAAGTCAATTAAGAAACAAGTGGGAAACGAATCAGGTACAACTTGATAATTGATGAATTTTTAATAATAATTAATTCCTAATGGATGACTATATATACTTATTCTACATAAACTATAAAAATTAGTTGTTTGTTATCTTCTATGGTATTATTGTCATATACATGCAGTGATGATTGACTGACTTCTGACATCTGCAAGCTGAACGAGCCGACATGCCTTTAAAACATAAAAGCGGCTGCATTCATTGTAAAACATCAACATTCATATTATCATTCTCTACTATATAGTCATCCCTTAGGAATTATTAGGGAACTACTCATTAACAATTCATCAATTATCAAGTTGTACCTGATTTGTTCCTCCCTCGTTTCTTAATGGACTAATCATTTGCTAGTTTCCTCATTCATTCCTCACTTGTTGTTGTGATTGTAAAGTGTTACCGTGTTATTTCTTGTTCTATGTGTGAAGCATTCAAACAGTGACATAATAGTGAACATTTAACTATGAGATGGGTTTCCTTCTCAGAACACAGGACAATGACATTTCAATTTTATAGATGTGGCTGTAATACTCATGCAAGTTGGAGCACTTCGCTTTTTTCAATGTATTACAAATGAAAGAAGAGACAAGAGGCAAGAAAAAATTCTTAAGTAATCTGGCCAAACCATTTATTCCTGCAGCATCAGGCTTAAGGCTGCAACCATAGTAGTAAACTCAGTAAAATCGACAAAACCATCCTTGTTGTTATCCAGTTCACAGAGGAAGTTTTCCGCTGCTTTGGACTAAATAAAAAAAAAAAAACAGTATGAGTTGTAAGTAGACTGTAAAACATTAAAATGGCAAAGAGGCAGCTCACTGTTGTAAAAGTACTATAGCTTTTCTACTTACGTCTTTCATGCCAAACTCTATGCGGAACAGTTTACCAAGTTCTTCCTTGTTCAGTTTTTTATCTGCTCCAGCATGCTGTGTAAAGACAGCGTGGAGCATTCCGATTGCTTGCAGAATCGTTGACATCGTGGCTGGAACATGAAAATATCATTGACTGTGTAATCCAGTGTTAATCTATTTATTACCTTAACTTTCTGAATTCCCACCCAATGTAATTGTTGTAATCTTAGATGGACATGTTAATCCTTGTCAGATGCATCAATACACAAACCACACCCAGAAGGTAATTCATTCATATATCTCGTTACATTTAAAAAAGGATTTTAAAACATATTTGCACTCACCAAAATTGTCCTCAAAAGACCTTGAGAGGGTGAATAGAAGGGATATGAGAAGAGAACACAGACACAAATCTTTTTTAAATAGAGGTTGACACACCCTATTTCTATGCCTCCACCCCTCTTTCTGATTTTTTTTCTTCTAACGTTTTTTTACTTCACGCAACCTTTTAGTTATTGCAGGGCAAATAGTGATCAGTCAAACAAACAACTTAAAGGCTCTATAACAAACTACTGCATGCAATAACCATGACTGAGTTATTAATTTAAGACTATTATTTATTTTTTCCTATTTGATTTAGATCTATTGAATTTGATGTACTCCTTGATTGTTGTGATTATTTATACAGCCCAATTTCTCTTAATTATCTTTTTATTGTCCAGTCAAATGTCACTTAATAAATTACTTTCTAAATATTTGAAAGACCTCCATGTGTGATGCTTGGTAACACATGTATGTGTCAGTATGGATTAAATGGGATCATTGTAAATTGTGTATTTTTAAGATATATGCTAATTTTGCTACAAGTAACTTTTATTTGTTATGGATTTCCATTGTGGTTTACTCATTTTAAGTAAAAGGTCAAGGTGCTTGCACTGCCAGTAAACTGTTTGACTACATCACAAGACAGCTTTGCTGAGTTACAACAGCAACATGGAACAGCAAATGTAATACTAGCTAAAGCTGCTTCTGCCCACAATGTGTATATGTCTTTCTGTACAAGTTTCTTCTACTACTTCATGTTAGCCCAACTCTGTCGCTTCATGGCTTCCAATACAGCTCTCATATTCAGCAGAATACAGGAGGAGAAGATTACAACTATTATGAACAAATTATACGATGTACTTGTCGTTGGTGAGAAAGAACCTCAACAACTTGTCTCTGCCTGCACAGGCAACATGTTGCAAATGTGGGTTATCTTAAACTGGTGGCTGTGTGCTGAAACATTTGACAGTCAGAGTGAAGGGATGGTATTCATTAAAGACAGATTCCAGTACAGTACAAAGAAGGAACAAGCACAGACGAGGTGTGGTCAAAAGACACCATGACTCACTGGCACAGAATGTTTGCATCTTTGCACCAACATCATTCTTTTGTAAAGAAGATCCTGATTTGATGGTTTGATACTGATTTGATGTTTTTAGCCATGCTAATGTCTATCTGTTAGTCTAGTCTGTCAATATTGGATGTGGTAGACTGGTTCAGATGAAGCATTGGACAGTTAAGACTCCCAGGGAACCTCCCAGAGGTTGACATTTGTGGTTTTGAGTGAAACAACTTGTTAAGACTGGAGATTCCACAGAAATAGGGAGTGGTGTAATACATTCCTGTTAGTGTTTAGAGCAAGGCTCTCTATTTTTGCCTAAACAGGGTGTTGTTTGCTCTGCACTCTGTATCTTTCCACTACAACCCAGTGGTTGATTGTGTGTGTGTTTGTTTAACTCTAGCAGATGATTTTACAGAGAAAGTAGCTATAATTTTATTATAAAGCATGGGTTTCAGCTGCAGTAAATAAAGGAGGATGAAAAAGTTGAACAATGAAAAGTTTTTTTTTGCTTAAATATACAATGAAATTGCAAAGTTATATAGTTATGTGATGTACACATGATGATGTGAACAAATCAGTCACGTCCTGATTTATGTAAATCAACAAACAGTATATGCAATCAATTAATGTAGTGTGATCAAAAAAAGCCTGGAACCTTATGCAGCTACATTTGTGCAAGAGTGTGTCATAACCTGTTTGAGTTCATTATATTGTATGAGCTATGGATTGGCTGAAGTGAAAACCAGAGATTAGTTCTCTTGGCAGTTGTGTTCTTTTAGAAAAAACAATGCTGGTGCTACCACACAGCTTGGTTTACAATGAGTTACCATTGGAAACCAGGAAATATGAGACACAGAGAGTGCAACACAATGAAATCCAAGTTTGTTCAGCATATGACCCTCTCCTTTTCTTTCTGTTTGTGCTTTAGTGGCTCTGGTTTCCATTGTTTCTGTGCTTTGTCAGTTTGTATTATGACTGAAGACATACTCTACTATACTATACATTTGACTCCTTTCAGTATGTCATTAAAAGTCCAGTGTGTAGCATTTAGGAGGATCTGTTGGCAGAAATGGAATAAAATATGCCGTTTTCACCTCTAAATTTAGAATCATTATGCTCTTAGAATGAGCCATTACGTGTCTTTGTACAGTAGAGTAGGTATTATGGTTAATTTATGCTTACACTTTTGGTGTTCCTTGCAGACCACATATTAACTTGCTACAACTGATTTACACAGAAATATGTGAATCTATATCTGGAGGTTTCATAAGATAGGATAAGATAAGATTAGATTAGAAATTTCCTCGCTACAGCAACTCCAGATACAACACAATAGATAAGAAAATACACATTCATTAAGACTATACATTTCAAGAATACATTTAAAATTTCACTTACAATAAGATACTTTAGTGGACTAGTGTTTTTGTTTCGGGAGGCAGACACCCTCTCCACAAGAAAAGACATTCCTCTTTGATAAAGCTTATAGTTAGGGCTGGATCAGGTGAGTCCTGAACCATCTCTTAGTTATGCTGCTATAGGCCTAGACTATCGGGGGATTAATGATGCACTGAGCTTCCTCTCATCCTCTCCTCCTCTTTCTGCACACATTATTTAACTCAACCATTACTAATATCACTGATATTTTATTATTTTATTTTATTATTATTATTATTATAGATATTATTTATTGCGTAATCACTGCTCATTGTCCCCCATCGTTTGTCTAACGTCATCATCTTCTTCATGTTCATTCATCATCAGTCCCACTACTCATTAGTTGTATTTGTTGCTACTTGTTGTTGCTGTTGCACCTTTATTTCTGTCTTCTTGTCTCTCTCTGTCCCTTCTCTTGGGTCTCTATAAATAATGTTATAAGGACTTCGGTCTATGACTGCTCATTTGAGGAAAAGTGTCCTGGGATATAACTTCTGTTATGAATTGTGCTTTACAAATATAAATTGTAATTAGGAAAATTGAATTGAATAGTGTGTGGGCAGATGTTCACTTTTGTTCCCAAACCTGGTACAAGTATTTTATATTAAAACTTTTCAACCA